ATTCATTTGGTTGGTCAAAAAGTATTTATTGAACACCTATTAATAATTGGTGCTAAACAGAAAGGCCAAATCATTCTTTTACTTATAAGCTTAGAAGACAAAAAATTCAGCACAAAACTATACAAATATAATTACTTGTTGTGGTAATGACCATGATAGGTGCAAGTCACGTAAGAAGCAAATTTCATGGCAGCTGAGAAATAAGGCAGGCAGGACACTTATGTAAACAGTGAAGGTCAGGAATGAGCAGAACTAGAGGGGGTAAAACATGATAGCTTCTGAATGGCAGAGAAATAGGGACTCCTTAGGTAGATCAGGGCAGCGGACGGCTGAAAGTATAAGCACAAGTCAGCCGAGTTCTGGGCTCCTCTAGGCTCCCCAGTTGCTCTGTGGGCTTTGTATTTGGGATAAAACCCAGATCTTGCATCCTACCACTTATTAAACACCTGGGTTTGGCCAAAGTTTTAACTTTTTCAAGTGTTCATAGTCAGTAGGAATGAGAATAGAAACACCGCACCAGAGTGCTAGAACTATCAAATAGGACAGCATTTGAAATACATAATGCAAGCACTGCAACTGTTAACTGTGACTGTAATGATGAAAAGGAAGAACTGGAGGGTGGAGGGGATACAGATGACAGGTTTGAATGAAGCTTTAAACCCTCTGTGAAACAATCCTATACCCAACATTTCTATGTTAACTTAGGACATCCCCTTCTGCATGTTTCCACACCCACAACAATATCTAAAGGCAATGGTTTTCAGTTAGAGGCACTTGGAAGTGTCCACAGGAGATGGGTATGTAATTTTATGATGTCACATAGACTGAGAATACTACTATAATGTAATGGGCAGGGAGCAAGGATACCAAAAGTTTTCAACACATGGCCCATCCCCATACATCATACAGCCATTCAATCCAAAATGCCAGTGGAGAACCACTGATAAATGTCTAACCCAGGAAGTGCTCAGTAAAGGTCTGCTAAATAAATGAATGATATTTTTGTATTAAAAAAATTAAAAAGGAGATTAAGATAAAAGAGGACATAACAACATAATAACACAGGTCAGAACAGAACAATTTAAGCAACATAGTGTTTCACCACAAGACAACCCGACATAACAGCTACCATACTGTCTCTTTCCTTGAAATATTTGAGTATAACTTCATATATTATAGCATCAAACATAATATGACAGTGTAAAACCATTCAAGAGAATGAAAGTATTACAGGGTATTTAGAACCAACTAACAGAAAACAAACAATGGTTTCTATATTATTTCCTTGTCTATAAAAAATTGTTTATACTTTCACACATAATAAAATCCAGTAAGATACAACATGATAAACCGATGGAGACAGAAGAACAAAAGCTTCATGGGACTTCAAAACAAGATGATATTAAATCAGCACTAGCTATTATATTGTCTTGTTTTCTTCAAAATAACTGTTCATACCATCACAGACAATAAAATCAAACAACCCAGAATGAAACTGTTCCAATTAATGAATGAAAACATTATAAGGCTTCAAAGCAATGTAATGGGGAATCATGATTACCACATACTTTTATGTCAAAAAAATGAATGATATTTGTACTATTTATTTCCCTCAGGGCACAGTAGACTGCCAGTTCCTTCTTATCAAGTTTGTAGCCATTTATCTTCTCCAATTCCCCAATTTCCCTGAACCTGACACAAAATAAGCATTAGTGACTATCTCCTACACATTTAATCAACAAATCAATACAATCTCTTAAATTGCAAGAAAGCATAGCTTACTTGACATGGGCAAGCTGACAGCATTCAACACATTTTCTCCAGGTATAAGACAGATACTCAACAAACAGTACCAAAACAGAGAGGCCACTGGCTTTGCTCCTTCACCATATGTCCAATCTTAACTCTGAAATATGAGAAGCCCAATAACAAAATCAGAAAAGGCAATGCTTTATGGGTATGATCTGCTTTCTGGGGAAAAAAAAAATAACTCAAGATATATCTCTTCCTCTAGATATTAGTTTAAAGGTAAATTAAGTTGCTTGAATGTTTACTTCTTTTGGAAGAAAAAAAGCCATCAGACTGAAGAGTTCTTCTTATTGCATACTTTGTTTCCAATGAACAAAAGTAGTATTCTCAAAGACTGAGGTAATGGCAGCTAGGCAAGTACTTAAAACAGCACAATGTTGCAAAGCAATGGAATAAAGCATAATATCAAAAAATGGAAAAGATAAAGCATCCAAAGATACTTTTTTTAAAAAAATCATTGCACGTCAATGATGATGATACGGCAGAAATGAGTAAACACAAAATAGATATGAAAACAAGAGTAAAGCAGTATACAATAAGCACATAACATTAAAGAAAATACAAGAAGTAATGAGATAATTTAGCAGGTTTTTAAAAAGGTTTGGAAATAAAAACAGTGAACTGCTGCACATATATTTCATATTCATATATTTTATATTTTTAACTGACTCTTCTCTAACACAGAAGAGTTTTTTCAAAGTGAAAACTGAATGGCAGGGATCTCAAAACTCGACTCTCTGAAAAACAATGAAATTGGAACAAATTACATTTTGTTATAGGATCTTTCCATATCTGAGTAGTCAAATATTGTTAGGCTGTTAAAACTAAATCATGAATACCAGTATGTATTTCATTACAGTGGCTTTCAAAGAACAGATTTCCAGAAGAAAGTCAACACATAAGCAAATGAACAAATAAAAACTATCATTTACAGGGACGTCAACATTTTACTATCATCAGAATGCTTTCTCTCATGCTTCTTTACCAAACTGATAATCTCCCAGGATAAAACTGGTTCATCTGAAGAAAGTGTTAACGTGAGAGGTAGAATAAACACACTTTACTTTTCTGTTATATATGTCAGAAAAACCTATCTGAATTATTAGAAAACAGAGTAAGACTAAAGTGGTACTGAGAAGATTTTTTTTTTTTTTAATGTTGCAGGTTTTGTGAAGGAAGAGTGTATCTTCTAACAATACAAAAAATAAATTGATACGGGAAAGAGACAAAAGAATTCCTTCAGCAGTAGTGCCTTCAAGGGGAGGTTCTGCATGCAGAAAGAAGCTGGAAGTAATAGTTAAGGCTTTTCCTTTTTGGCCTTACACCTTTCCACCCATTCTAAAGTGAAAAGAGAACTAGGAAAATGATCTCTGGTGTCTACACAGCCTACTTCCGGGTTACCAACTCTTGCGTCATACCCAAGCATAGGCCTTACAACTGGACATATATGAGTTTACAGCAATTGATGGCTACCATCGAGGCCTGTGCATTTACAAAAAGGTAACATCCAAACCATGGAACAGCCATCCATAGATGTTACTTGTCACACTCACTTAGACACTGAGGTCACACTCTCCACATCTTTAGTGTTTAGTTCTTCAACAAAAAAAAAAGAAAGGCATTATAAGGAGTTGATGTCATCAAATATGAAGGAGGCCTTTCTGCTTTGTCATCACAACTTAGCTTTTATTACTAAATGTTTGCTGCATATAATGTTGACATTCACTTACGTAGTAACCACGTCTATCTAATACCTAATATATCTTAATTTTTTAAATCCCCTTTCCTTCCCCCAACCAACTTTCTTTTCTTTTTTTTTCGTTCATGATAAACTGTTTTAATCAGAAACTTGTCTACAAAAACTACACTGTGTGAGGATCTATTGAATAAAATAACTTTGTGTACGCCTGATAAAATGCAGTTTTCCTAAAGTGCTTAGAATTTATCACAACACAACACCTGGTATAAAGCTTTAACGGTTTCTCTCCTAAATGGAATATGACTTCCTCATTTTCATCCAAAGTACCGAAGTTGGTTTATTTTACTACATCCTCTGTATCTGTGGCTTTAATAGTTTTACTGATTTACTATAACGAAGACATTTCATGTGGAAGTCTACCCCCTTCTTTGTAACCAAAAGCTAAGTGTAAATATGAAGGAATAATATGCATTTTTTAAAGCAATACGATTTGTTATCTTCTGATCTAATCTTACATTCAGGTTTTCATTCCCTAGGCATCTTGCAATCCAAATAGAATTAAAATTCGGTTTTGGACAAAGATACAATTTCGAGAGTGTCAATGTAAAATTAACTATCGAACATTGTTACCATAGTTATACTGCCTGAAACCACAGGTCACAAAGGATGGTCTCAGCAATTATTTTTGCAGACATAATTCATTTTCCCTACAAAGCCATCATCAATATCTAAAGCCTATCCAGGCCCTTATTAACTTCAAATTTTCTTTCAAGGATCATGCTCTAAATTTATTTTCAACAATCAACAAATCTCTCATTTTCCTCTAAAAAACATAATAGTCCCCCACTGTCTAAAAAAAGCCCCTTCCCCTTTTCACGCTAAGATGCCATTTACCTTCTGCTGTTTAAAGGAGGCAATTTCTAATGACGTTTTCTTTATGACACTCAACACGAATTACACGTACGCACAGGCTTGCCTCTAAACATTTTAACATATAAGCATTATTCGTGATCTTGTTTTAGAAACTGAAAGGGACCCATGCTTGTTTTATTTTCACAAGGACAGCTCAAGGTCTTTAAAAGGAGGACTACGGTATTTCGTAGGAGTGTCTGCTTCCATCTGCAATATCATTTCTTCACTCGCAGGCACCTCCCCGCCTGTGCTCTCTACACACGCTGTGCATGTCACTGAATTACCACCTCTGTATGCCCACATCTCTACCTAAAGGGCAAGGGTTTCCTTGCGGATTTCCTCCCTTCTTTCTTCCTCCCCTCCTGTGTCCTCCTTGCAAAACTGCCCGCTGCATCCCTAAACGGTCTTCCTAAAGCTAAGCAGCGAGCGAGGTGCGCGAAGCTACGCCCTCCTCCGCAAAGGCCTCGCACGCATGCGCAGCTCCGGCCGAGCCCGGCGCCGCAGGTCGTCGGCCGGGGCGGGCCCGAGGCCCGAGGTCTACCCAGGCTCTGCGGCGAGCGGGGCCGACAGGCACACTCACAATTTTAGCATCCACTCGCCCTCCATCACCAGCGTCCAGTTGGAAGCGGTCATGGGCTGCACCCGGCTCGGCTCCGCCGGCACCAGGGCCTGTTCGGGGCGCTCGGCGGCCGCCAACGCCGCCACCCAGGCGACCAGGAGCGCCGTCCGCAGCAGGCCGCGGCGTCCGCCCGCCATGCCTCTGGGCGCGGGGCGACGCTGCTCTGCAAGCTGAAGGCCCAGGGACGCTGAGCCCCGGGCCTCGCTCGCCCGGTCGCCTGTGGGACCTGCCTCCTGAGGCGGCCTGAGGAGATGGCAAGCCACCCCGCCTCCGCCCGCGCACAGCGACCCTGCCGGTGAGGAGAGAGGACGGGCGGCCGGCGCCGCCTCTTATCCACCGGGGCCGCGAGGCCACGCCCCCTCGCGCTGTGCCGCGCCGTTGCCCGGGGTACCGGTTGCCCGGCAACGGCCGCTCTTTCCTTTGACTGAGACTCTGAAAATAAACAGATGACCCAAGGTTTAAGTTAGAGCGCGTGCTGCGGGCGTTCAGCCCCAGGCAGAGGGGTGGGTTATGAAGCCTGTCCTTTTCGCCGAAGGGAAGAAAAGTGGCCGGCTATTTAAAATCCCTCTGCTCTTCAATGGTGTCAAAAATGAGCTCTGTAGACTGCGGAGTAGATGCGTAGTGAATGCGTAGATTTGTGTGCTCTGACCGTGTACCTCGAGGAAAGCATCTCCACTTCATAGGTCATAATGATGAAGCTCCATCATGCAAGTCATTTTCTTACGAAATCATTTTAATGTTACAGAAAGTTTTAAAACAGTACAGGGGCTGGGGGTTTAGTTTAGCGGCATAAGCGCCTGCCTTGCAAGCAGGCAGTTGTGAGTTCAATCCCCGGTACCCATAAAAAGGAAAAAGACAACAACAAAAAAAAATGAGTACAACCGGTAAAATGAGGCAGCTAATAATTATTACTACCAATCGGAATAAACTGGACCTCATGTTTCTTTTGCTGGGGTTTTGTCTGATCTAAAATGAAAGCGGCCTTGAATGATTTCTGTATCTTTTTCCATATGAATATTACGGGAATTTGTAGCTTGGGACCATTGCAGATTGTGCTGAAGAATGATTCCAATTAGAGAGTCCGTGAGCTTTTTCAACGTGTACATTATAACCACTTACTAGCTGTGCAGAGATAAAAATTCACTTGTGTGGTTCATGTACGTATCTTGAAAAATATGTAGTTTCTGACCTGGGTTTAAAACATAGTTTTACAACTGACACTATCAAGAGCACGTAAGAGTAGTCTCCGATCAGTAAAATAGGACAGATTAATTTTGCTTGAACAACTCGCATCAATTAGCTGCTAATTAGTATTACACAAAAGCTATGTAGACAAGTTCTTCCTATCAAATATAACACTAAATACCTTACGAACTATTGTAAATTAGAAAAATGTCTTTGCATTGAGTGTCACTAAGACTATTATTATTACAGATCAATCCTGCAAAGTCAATGGAAAGCACTACTGTGTTCATAAATAAATCACAAACAGGAAATGTGTCATTCTTTTCGGTGTAGCTTTATTGTATAAGATATGTGATGAGTAAAACAAATAGTCTTGAAATAGCATCTGCTATTAGTAATTACTACCAGTTTTTTGAATATGATGTTTTGACCATATTTTAAGTAATTATTGGTTATCATAAGATATTTATGAACGAAATAATATGTCTGGAATTTGTTTTAAACTGCTCCAGAAATCAAATACGGAGAGTAGAGGGACAATGGATGAAACAAGAGTGATATGAGGCTGTGGTAGTTAACTGATCATGTCAACTTGACTGAGAAACCCCAACTAAATTGGTTCAGCATAGTTCTGAGTGTGGGAGACACACCCCAGGGGGGATTATGGCCAGACTTATGAAAGGAAACGGAAGCAGACACGTTTGCATCCATTTCCTGCAGTGGAGCTCCAGTCTTGGCTTTCACCTTGGACATGCTCTCCAGGTTTCCAGCACAGACCCCTCAGCCTCCAGCATCCACCTTCAGCCTTCTGGTGCCCACCCTTCAGCCTCCTGATAGGGATTCCCACGGAACACTGCAGGGGGCTCCTGGACTTTCACTGAATTCCTGAGATCACAATGCACAGATAGACCTCTGCACTCTTCCACACTCAGCTCTGTGGGCAGCCAACATAAGCCAATCTGTAAATTCTTATTTGTATATCCTATATCTATTTCTCTAGTAAACACCAAGTAATACAAAGAGTCAGTGTTAAAATTAAATTCATTTTCCTGTGTCGCTTACTTTTGTATGTGTTAGACCATTTCAATATGAAGACAAGAGAGAAAGCCTCTGAGTCACAAAAGAAACTCTCACTGATGCTCTTCCTATCTCTAACACAAATTGCATGCTCAAGGATTGGACATCTTAGCCTTGGAGGAAAATAAGAAACAATACAGCAAGCATGGGTGAGAAACACTGTTATGGTTGATACACTGTGTCAAGTTGAGAAGTTTAGAAGTTTAACTGAGAGACTCAGCAGGAAGCCAGGGTCTTACTCTGTAAATATCCTCATTCTGTGCAAAGAAGGGCAAGGAGATTTTTTGTGGGTGCTACATCTACTCTGAAAGTGGCAGGGTGGGGTGGGCTGTGTAGAATATAAGGGAGACGGAAAGGCTTGTTTTCTCCCTTTCTGTTCCTCCTTTTGCTCTGGCTGCTGCTTTGAAGAGTTGCCCCAGTGCCATGCCACCCTTGCCTTGGAGCCAGCCGATTATGGAATGAAGCCTCTATAAACAGTGAGATAAATAAACCTTTCCTTCCTTCATTTTGGGTGTCAGGTGTTACTTGGTGTTTTACTAGCAACTAGAGAAAAGTAACCAAGACAGAGACTTTGTGATAGGAACAGGGAAAGGTGCAGATGAGAAAGGGAGCTGCTGTCAGACCATGAGGTCATCTTGCACTGACACTTTGGAGCTGTGTGATCTGGACCTCAAGCTAGTTTCCATTAAGCTGCTTAAATGCAGGAAGAAGTAGAACCGGCTTCAAAAGGTGGCAGTGAAGATGATACAAGTATAATGCCAAGTGCATTGTATCCCTCGAAAAAGTTATTATGTGGAAGCAGCAATATCCTATGAGGCTTTTACAGAACTGTTTTCCCTAAAGCCAAATGCACTTAGCATAACACACAATGTTCTTTACAACCCAGCTTCAGTTTCCCTGACTTTGCCCTCCCTCAGTCCCACAATTCCCTGAGACCGGTAACACAGAGCTACTCCCGTTCCCTAGGCACACTGTGTACTCTCATGCCTCCTGGCTGCTTCATTCCGTTTATAATAGTTACCTAGTGAGTCATTAGGCAGCCTCTATCATGTAGCTCACACTGTGCCTCCAGTCGCCCATGCAGAATGAGCTGCTGAATCTTCTCAGGTCCGATGGCTCCTCTATAATTCTCCCACATCCCTTTCTATTTAACACAGTTCATTTAGTGATCAGCCTCTCTCCTCAGTTCTCCAACACTTACTAGGAACTCTTCAAAGTTAATGTCTTTATTTTTGCATAGTGTTATGTCTTTTGCAAAGCAGAATACCCATAGCAGTAAATAGGGTAGGCAGCTTCTGGTATGTTCTCCAAGATCCCCATCTGCTGGTGTTCAGGCCCTTGAGGGATTATTTCCTCTTGAGTGTGGGCTGGACCCAGTGACTCACTTCTAATAGAACATGATAACAGTGGTGGAATATTCTATAACAAATTTACAAACAGGTGCTCTAGAATAGGTCTCCAGATTTTCAATGGACTTCATATAGGAACAATATACATTTTTATGAACATCCATTCAAATTAGCCATTGGTGCATCATCAACCATCCCAGAGCCCTTCTCTCTTGGTTCTGGGGATTGACAGACCAGCAGAGCTTTCTTTTTATTTTTCTTACCTTTATCCGGTTGACAGATATCTGAAAGCTGAGGTAACAGTTGAAGTTCTTCATATTCACATCTGGCAGCTGAGGACCAGGACTGATCAGGCATCTTTCTTATGTGCCAGGATTCCCAGGAGACTAGTTTGGCCTTCCTTCAGCGTGGTCCTACTTACTGTCTCCACATCACGATTCCTCAGTAACATAGAAACTGCATTGCTTCTTAACAATTCCACTGAGAAGTTTAATAAGCCAGGCCTGATGGTGCATGAGGCAGAGGGATTGCAAGTTCAAGTACAGACTAGGCAAATCAGCAACTTAGACCCTCTCAAAATAAAATGTTTCAGAAAAGGGCTGGGTGTAGGTTTGATCCCCAGTACTAGAGAAAAGAAGTCTCAGTAGGCCATTGTTACCATAACTTGTGATATATAAGGACTGAACCCCAGCCTAGACTAACTAGCAACAAAATAATGGTGGCCCTGTTTAACAAAAAGCAACTGAAACTTGGGGTTGTCACTGAAACGTCACCTAGCCTGTTCTGACTGACCCATCAACTTCTTCTGATGACTTAATCAGTAACAGCTTAGGAGGAAGGAGGTGATATTTCCTCAAAAGATAATGGAAACTACCACTTCCCTTTCACCTTTTGAAATTAGCCTCTGAGATGCGTGTTTTGGCAAAAAGCACTAGAGAGAGTTATTTTCAAGCCCTTAGGGAGCCAATTCTGATGGTAGAAACTTTTAATCCATAATTACAGCCAAAGATTTTGATATAATTGGCAATTTAAGACAATATTTAAAAAGACAATATTGAGGTTAATGAGGGAGATATAAGAAGATTGCATTCAGATAACAAAAATTCTGTAATAATAGGGTATACAAATAATAATATACAGCGATTTCCCTGTTGAGGATAGTGAAACTGGTATGGAAATATTAACTAAGCTAAGCAGTGCTACAAAATTAGTGTGTAAAGTAATGATAGTAAAGGAATTTAATTACACAAACAGATTTGCTAAATGCCTTACAGGAACAAGAAGTAGAAGGGAGAATTTAAATAGGACACAGTAATATGTCCTAGAACAGATGGTAGAGAAAGCCATGCTGGATGGAAATAAGATAAATTATAGCCAGAGTAGCTACTAGAAACTAATCCAGAAGGAGCCCTGCAAGTCTCCAAGAAATAACCCTAGGACCACGTTGTAATGAAAGGAAATTGACTAATTTTTAAAGAACTAATAAGTGATCCCAGAGAAGCAGCAGCTGTATATAAGCAAGAAGTATACAAATCATTTCTTTTTCTTTACACCAATAGGAAATAATTTGAGCATGCAACATAGACAAATATTCCATTCAATGGAAAAAGTATTCAATAAAAGTTTACAAAAACTCGAAAGACATAAAGATAAAAGATAATAATAGAGACAGTCTCCCATTTT